ACCAATTGAAATCATAACTTTGTATAAAAAAGGTCTTGGCTCAAAAATACAGTTAAAAAATCAAATCACATGTCCAAAGGAGGAGGTGTTAACACTAAAATAGATAAAGCTCTAATTTCTTCAAAAATATCTGTTTCCTTGGTTTTTAAATAAATTGAATTCAGCAAAAAGGTCCATTAACAATCTCCTGAGTTTTGACCACACCAAGATTAGATGCTTCAAAAAGGGAATGTCAATATTTCTGTATGCTTGGTAATTTCTTTATTGACATCAGCATAGTTTTAATATCAATATATGAGACAGACTGTAACAAAACCAGACAAAGTGAACATTATGTCACAAAATAATTCAGGGTTCAAAGTGTTGAAATTTGCCACTAATACTAATGATGTCTTATTATTATATCTTGCTGCCGCCTTTTCAAAATCTTCATCTTTTAAATTACTGACTGAAGTTTTGCGTTGGATCCTTGGAGATGTTTGTTGCATTTATGTTAAAATATTGTATTATGTTAATTACTCAAGAGAAGACGACACATTGAAAGTAATTAAGAAAAGAATTTTTAGAATAATAGATTTTGCCAAAGATGAAACAAAGAAAATAATTATATGATGTAAAGTAAAATCAGAAGGATGAATGGATGATAATATTAAATATTTAGAAGGAATTTGGAAAATTATTGAAACCATGCTACATAGTATAATGATTGATTAAGAGGAATTGAAAATTCCTCAAAAAGCATGAAATGGATTTTTTATCTTTGACACAGAGAATAAATTGAATGAATTAATAGAAAAAGAAATTTTCCAGAAGTCCAAGTTGCCGATTTAGAAAACGAAAAAGAAAATTTCCTAGATTTTAGTTAGAAAGCCCAGGAATGATGAGCAAAAGAAGAAGAAAAACCAAGACAAAAATAATAAGTTTGGAAAAGGAAATTGAAGGCGGAAAAAACCAATTCGATCATTAAAGGAACTAAATCACGTATTAAATCAAGCTAAGGGAAAAGCTTTTAATGTCTTACAAGAAACAACAAA